CTGAGCAACTAAAACTTTTAATTAAGAGAAGCGTTCCTGTTCAGGGGGAAGAATTAGCTCTGAGAGGGAAACCTTTTCCCTGTGAGGCAGGAAATGAGTCTCAGCAATTAGAAGAAGTGGTGGTGCACGTGGGAGCTGGAGCGTGGCATCCCGTGGCTGCTGCTCTCACCCTGCCCATCGCCTGCATGGGCAGCTGCAATGGCCTCAGTGTGGCACTTTGCCTGTAGTTGGTGGTATAGGTAGGTGATTCTTTGTGTTTTGGGGCGTCACATGAATGTATACACAGATTGGTTGTTGGTTTTGAGGGGGTGGGAAATCGTGTTTCTAGGACAGACAAGTAAAACTTAGCGCAGCAGAAGCAATCTTGCAGCAGAAGGAAATGGAGGGTCTTCTCAAGGCTGCCTCCCATCTGTGTTGGCCACAGGTCCTACCAGCTTAGTCATGACTCTGGTCTGATTAGTGTACCTTAAAATGTCATCCCATAGGTGAGAGAAATGAGTTTCTGCACTATGTGAGAGCAGCTCTCCAAAGACTTCTTGATGGTTGAATCAGGTGGGGGGGAGGGGGAAGCAGTTACAGCTTTCCAGAGTAGCTTTAAACCAGGTGAGATCAGATTCCTCTGGTCTCCTGCTTAGCAGCTTCCTCTGCAGAACTTGAAGCAGTTAGGTTTGCAGTCAGTGGCTTTTTCTGCTCCAGCATAGAGCAAAGCCTGGGAGAGTAGTTAGCCACTTTAGAAACTTAATGCTACTTGTTACCTAGTCCTGAAAATGGAGAGATGTTGTTTTATTTTCATGCTCCTTGCTCTGTCTTGCTATAGAGGGACCATGTAGAAATTATGGAGGTGGGCTGGGGTGCTACACCTCTTCTTCAGCTGAGCTGTGCTCCCTGGCATGTCTCTCCTCACCAGCAAGGTGCTGCAGGAGAAACATGGCCAGAACTACTAGAGGAGGTGAGTGTGTAGCAGGTGAGGTCTAGGAGGGAGGTTCTCAGGGTGGCTGGAGCCAGGCAGAACATCTGCAGCACTGCCAGAAACCAACTGCACCTGGCTGTCTTCGCTGTGTTGTGAATGGGGGGGAGGATGCTGAAATTTTATACAGAACTGTGTCCCTAAGGACAGAAGTGCTGGCATCACAGATGCAGGTGGCACTTGAGCACATAATTTGGGATCAAAAGCCTGAGGCTTGCTACTGATCTGCTGAGAAAAACTCCATCCCCTTACCTGTTACACTGTGAGAGAGGCCTTGGACCGATGTCGTCTCCCAAGGGAGACTGCAATGCACTAGCTGTGTTTGTACAATGCTGTGCAGGGCTGGGAGTCTGTTCCCCAGAGGGCTGTGCTCCAAGCAGGCACAGCCAGGACTTGAGGCTGACCCCCTTTCTGTGCCAGAGATAGGCCCAACCCTTGCATTCTCAGCCCTCACCTCAGAGGGTGAAGAAAGCTCACCATCCACATAACTCCCTACATTGCTTTACTGATGCCAAACCAATGTCTGGCAAACTGGAGCTGGTGCCAGGAGAGGCTCTGTCTGTCCTAAGCTGGCCTGTCCTCTCTGGTCAAGGGTTTTTACTTGGGGGGGAGGGGATGGTGGTGCAGGGGAGAATGGGACACTTCAATTTATACCTCATTTTATCTGCTGTACCTGAATTTATTTCTCCTCTGGTATGAAAGTGACTGTACTGAACACCAAGCAAATAGTGAACATTAAAGCCATTTCACTTCACTGTCACAATATCTTTCTTTTATTTTTTTGGGTTTTTTTTAAGAAACAAACGCACACAAAAACCGTGCAGAGAGTGCTTCAGGCTTGTGTTCTGGCTTATATTACCAAAAAAACCCCCACCCTCCTTTCAATATAAAAAAGCATTACAGTAGGGAATACAGGATAAATTAGCTCTGCTATCTAATAAAAACATTTACAGGTTTGTTCTTTTTTAAAATAGATTTCAAACATTATTTCACACACAGCCTTTCCCCAGGCGTTTGGGACAGTCAGCTGAGCATTAAATAAGAGCCAGGAGGGCAGGGGTGCTGAGAGGGGCTGTGGGCTCACAGGCACAGGATGCTCTCCACCACTCCATCCAATGTGCTCGGGCCATGGTCAGTGCTGCAGCTCCCCAGAGCTCCCCAGCCTGCCCAGTGCTCTCCCGTGGCCCCACGAGTCACCAGAGCTGTTAAAAACAAATACAAAAATACAATTGCTTCTCCTGTCCTACAGTCTTGAAAACTACTGTACAACAGCAGGGGCAGCCACAGAACCAAGGGACAAACCCAACAAGTTCACATGGAGTTTGCTTTCTGGGCTTCTTGGTTCAGTTCCCCTGAGGGCAATTCCTTCTGCCAGGTACCAGTCACAGATCCTCTCAGACTCGCACGTGTCTTCCCAGCTAGCTCCAGTCCTTGCGCAGAATGCTGCCTGGCCTTGCCTGGCCTTTCAGGCTCCATTCCTCGTGGCACGTGAGGCAGCTGCAGAGAGGGTTTGGAGCCTTCACCCAGCAAGGAGTAATGAGGGATCAGCCAAGGTAAGAGAGGAGAAACTGTGCACAGGCCAGAATAGCAGGTGAAGAATCCTTTTGATGACACAGGGACTAACATTAGGGAGAGAGGGAACATGAGAGAGCTAAAAACAGATAAAACATTGGGAATTGGCAAAGTCAACGAGAAAACAGCTGGCAGAGATCCTACTTCAGGTGTGTATATTTACTACTTCAGTCTGACTACTTTGGTCCAGTTCCCCCAGCTTGGACAGGTTTTTTTCGCTATGCCACTGGTGGCAGAAGAGGTTTAAGTCTTTTTTTTCCCCCCTTCAGCCACCCACCATGCACAAATGAGGGTATTCACCTTCCAGGTGAATAAACCGAGGGGAAAGAAAAAACCTGGAGACTGGGGAAGGCAGTTTTGCTTTTCTCAATCATCTCCAGCCAAATTCCCACCTATGCTGACAGTTTTGTACCTCCCCTGGGAATTGCTCTTCCAGAGGAGTCACTGACACCAGTTCCTGAGGCAGAAGGAGAATGGATAAGCACCTTCTGCTCAGCCCATTCCCTACAAGACTAGAAGATGCAACAGATTTCTCTTAAGTGCAGCACCTGCTGTCTAGTACAAATGCTGCTTCCCTTTATTAAACAACAGAGCAGAATTTGATGCTAAAATGCCTCATTACAAGAAGGTCTGGAGTGATACAGTTCAGACCAGCTTTGCACAAGGTTTAATGCACCATGTGAGGCTGCTCAGCAGCCCTGGCTGCAGCTCCACCTGCTCAGCCCTCTCCTGCCAGTGGATCAACTGTTGTTGTCAAATGAAGCTTGGAAAAGCTCTTCCTGTTCCCTAGTATCCTGATTTCCCAACCTGGATATTCAGCCAGGATCTTTGTGGACCAGACTTTCTGCTGCTTTCCCCCCTCATCTGTAGCCTGTGCAGTGCCCCAAGGGGGAAGAGACCAGCCAGAGGATGTAGCTGCTGCTGCAAAGCCAGGGCACTAGGTTGTTGCTCAGCTCCTTCCTTGCCAGTGGCTACAGCTTTCAGAGGAGCTGGTTGGAGCCTATATAAAAGTGTTCCCATAATCTGAGCCTATAAAATTTGAGAAAAGATGTAAGTTAAACAAGAAACCACAGCCCCTTCTGTCCTCCCACAAGTAAAATGATTCTGGGGTCAGGGAGTTACCAGATGAACAATTAAGGCAACAGTGGTTGATTATTCCAGAGGGGAGAAACCAGTGACCTGAGGGAGTTGCTATCCATGACCACTGGAGCAGCAGCTGGAGCAGTCTGGCTGCTCACTGGGTGCTCCTGGTGCCTGCCTGGGCCCTCAGCAGCTCCAGCTTAACCTCTGACCAAGGTCCAGTCCCAGGCATCTTTTTCAAGTTCACTTCTACGTGACTGAGTAGATCACATGTTAGTTAAATATCAAATTATCTCAAGGGAGGAAACACTCTCACCTAAACCAATTCTGACTTGGTGATTACTTTTGCCATGAGCCCATGGGAGAA